CTTCTCAGCCACACTAGACGCTGTTCCAAGTCCTCCATACAGAGCACGATACCATAGTCTCTCGAGACTGAAGGATGCCTACTACTCTCCAAAATATTAGAAATATAAAACTTAGTTGATTTAACTGATGTACTATCCAGCTAAGAGTATGGTCCTAACACCTTTGAACAGCTCTGTATGGGGTGGAAGTGCCTCTTTACAAGTGGGAAAGAGCTCTGCCAGCATTTTCTTTTGTTACAAAGGTGCTATGGGAAGCTCTGGCAGCCTAGTTTTAACAATGGCAGGGTTCCTGCCAATAATGGGCTCTGCAATAAGCAGCTTGAGAGGTGCACCATCAAAAGACACTTCTCCCCCCCCCCCCCAGAAGCAGCCATCAACTACAGCAGCCTGAAGCTGGTGTGGTTAATTTCCTTCTCTTTATTTTTTAAAGCAGAGATCCAATGGGCCTCTGCTTGGAAAACACGTCTCTTGCCTTGGCAAGCGTGGATTTTGCACATGCGCCTGGACGCATCTCCCTCCCCATCCCAACCAAGCTGAAGAGTGCTCAGTAATTCATTGGTACCTCACTGCTCTGCTTGTTAAAGGCACAATCTTTTTTATATTTTGAGGATATTTTGGTCTAACGTGTTCATCTAAAGGCAGGGAAAGAGGAGTAAAAATTAAAGATGCCTTTCCCTTCAGATTATCAATAATAGCATACGCTATATGTTGACTTACAAATCCTTCAAGATCCCAAAAAGATATTGAGATTAAGGTTTTGCCAACTGGAAATACATTTGAATTCATTTGATGAACTGTGCAATCCTGCATGAGTGTACTCTAAAGTATGCTGAGTTCATTCCCGGGTTAAAAAAAAAGAGGTTAAGATCGTTGCCTACATGGCAGATGTTTGATTAAAATTCAACCCCAGGAAGTGTAATTTTAGTTAATCAAGCCATTAGAAAGTCACGCAACGGCACCAGTCCAGTGAAGCGGGCAGGTTAAGACCCCATAAAGAACAGCTGCTATTCTCTACACGGTTTGCTTTTATGAATGTGTTGAACCTGATCTATTGATTTTGATCCCGACTGAGCGTATATATGGTGTGTGAAGTGAAAGGAAGCAAAATGAGTAGCGCAGAAGGCCTGGAAAATAGTGCACAGAAAAAGAACTGTGAGGTGGGATGAGGGGGAGAAACCATAAATCAACTTGGACTTTTTTTTTTCAAATGGCTTTGAACCATCCAAATGAAATACAGCTTTTGTGGCTCTTTCCAGACTTACAGATGGAAACTCAAACCCCTCTGCTTCTCTGAATATTGTTTATTAACTTTGATTTGACACCACTGACAAAGGAAGGTGTGTAAAAGGGCACACGTGAGAGGGTTGAGTTCCCTACTGGAAAGTAATAAATGAAGGCAAAGTAATAAATGAAGCCAGCCTTTATGCCTCTCATATCCAAGTCCGAGCTTCCTTGTCCTCCACAAAACCCTACCCACAATTTACCAGGGATGAACACTTGAGTTGTGGGACTCACTGTCGACTCAGATTTAAGTCACACCAGTGACTTGACTTGGTTCCCCCCCCCCCCCGGGACTTGGACCTGACTCATAGCTTGGAACTCAATCACCCCTCACTTTTTTCTAGGGGAAAAAGCTTGTTTTTAACAGGGACTCCGACTTGGTGCTTGGTACCAAAGACTTGAACCCAGACCTGGGACTCAGACTTGCCAACATCCCTGCAAGTTATTGCCCAGAGCAGGAAGGGGGAAGATGTGGTCTTCCAGATGTTGTTAGATTACAGGTCCCTTCAACCTAAAGCAGAAGAGCCAGTGGTGAGGAAACATGGCAGTTGTGGTTCAGGAACATGCATAGGGCCACACGCTGCCCTATGTGCAGAAGGTAACACATCAAATCCGGCTAAAGTAAATGCTTTTTTGATCTTGGGAACGAATATGTTAACTAGAGAACCAGCTGGTGCAAGCATCTCTAATCTTATTGTCAGGACAGTAGTAATTTCTAATAAGGCTTAAGATGGAATTGTATATTTCAGGTTCTTTGCTTAATGGTGATTTTGGCTGTTGACTACCACGAGTTATTAAATTTGGGGGGGGATATATACTCTTAATCTGTAGACACTTAATCAGCTGATTTCCCCCATTTTGACTAAAAAGCATCAGCATATCAGGAATGCTGTTCACGTTGTGAAGGTGTGGAAGTGGAAATTGTTGGGCACAGTTAATATAATTATTCCTTTCATCATGATAGTCACTGTGTTTTTAATACATCCATTCGTCAAAGGATTTGAGATAGATTGGAGGAATATTGTTTATTCCTTTCCAACTATGACATATGCCTTTCCAATAAAGTGGCTAGATTTTGTGCAGTTTTTAAGCACCTTCCTTTTGACATCCTCTTCAGCACATCTTGGAATAACTGGCTTTCATGTGATTTAATTTCACTGAAGTTATGTAACATCTCCAAACCAACTTATATATATATATTTTATTTTACTCTTATTGACAAAAATGTAAATATTCTAATATTCTGTATATTTTTCCAAACAGTGGTATTTGTTTCTTCCCCTTATCGTATTCCCATAAGGTTTTAAGCAAATTATCCTGATCTTCTGCTTCCAAGTAAATTGTAAATTATATTTACTGTTGCTTTCATTACCTTATCTTCACCTACACTTTCCTTTTGTAGTATAATCTCTTCAAATTTCATAATTTCTCTACATTTACCATTTCTTTTTACCCAAACCTTTTTCCATTGCTCTAACTGAATAATAGTATAACAAGATATTTTATCCATTCCTATAACTTCTTTTATTTGTTCTTTATCCCCTCCTCCCCTATTTCCTAACCAATTTTTATTCTAATAATTTGTATCTTTCTTAATAAAGTCTCAGTTTCATATTTTCTGGGAATTTCTCCAACCAGATGTAATGGATTAACTGGTGGAAAAAAATTGTTCTATATCTGTTTCAGATTAAAAGTATATTTTTAAAGAAGGGATTTACTATATTTTTACTAAATTTTTATTATCTTGTACAAAAAGAATATTTACGGGGCTTCAGTCTAACTCTTGTATTTCCATATTCAGCCAAATTAGTTTATTAGACTGAGTTATAATATTTAGGATATGTCTTAATTGGCTGGCTACATAGTATAACCTTAAAGGGGGAAATCCCAGAGCTCTAGTTATTTGAGATTTATGCCATCTCTTCTTATTAATTCTTGATTTTTTAAATCTCCATTACAAGACTTATTAACTATATTTTACCAGTCCTTTAACTCTTTAACACATCCATTTCTTTTAGCATGATCCATAGCTTTTCATGATCCACACAGTCTAAGGCTTTGCTGTAATCTATAAAGCACACACTGATTTTCTTCTGAAATTCTCCAGCATGGTCCAACAAGCAATGTATATTTGCAATATGATCTCTAGCATCACTGGGGTAAATCCCGTGGATAGTTCCAACTGCAGGTGACCTTTTAAATGAAAAGGACCTGTTAAGTCAACACTGATGTAAGTCACATTACATTGACATAAGTCTACTCTAGTTGGAACTAACAATTGTATTTGACCATTATTCACATCAGGTAGTTTTGGCACTGTGCACCATTTTATTCTATATTTTTATTCATTATTTTACAACACTTGGCAGCGCCTTTTGAGGTCTACAGGCAAAGTGATTTTCATGATGTGGGTCACCACTATATTCACTTGGAATAAATACTCCCACTCTGCAGTTAAATGTAGCAGAAAAGTGTGTACAGATGCAAACATGGATAGAAAGAAGTTTCATATTTGTCCCAGTTGACCTGTAAAAGAGAATCACAGTGTCTTCTGGTATTGATCAGTGGCTTGCAGCACTGTGGCACCAAAGGGGAACGAAAGAAGACATCATTGTTACATTTAAGTGCTGTTATTACTCTGTGTTGTGCCAGATTCTGCCATAAAAATGGATATTCGTATGGTTTAAAAAAGAGGGAGGAAAGGGGGAATATACTGTTCTGGCAGTATAGATTAGATATACAGAAAGACAATAATCTGATATTCTTATTTTAAAATCGTGTTTGTTTATTAATTAACAAAACAGAAAGGTGCATGGCTTAGCACATATTGCATGCTGGAATCTTGTGGATTTCCAATGGGTATGTAATGATCAAAATCCTGTTTGTTACACCTACAAGCCAAACTCAAGTAAGTGTGTGCGTGTGCGTGTGCGTGTGTGTGTGTGTCTGTGTGTGTGTCTGTGTGTCTGTGTGTCTGTGTGTCTGTGTGTCTGTGTGTCTGTGTGCGTGTGTGTGTACCCAGAGTAATGGCTTGCCACTAGATGGGCAGGATAAAAAAACCCAGAGTAGTGGCTTGCCACTAGATGGACAGGATAAAAAAATGAATGAATTAATTAATTAATGAATAAGTGACTTTTGAGGTAGATTTTCTCAAATTAAGAATTCACCACAGACATTATTTCTTGTAAATTGTGTTGCATGGATACAATAGACAGTGTCTACGGCAATTTCTTCATTTGAGGTCATTTACATCTGAACCTTATGCTGTTTGCCTTATGCTGCTGCAAAATTCCAACCTGTTCTTTCCTCAGCGTGTATTACATATTTTGCCACAAGCATAGAGCAATCCAAATGATGGCAGGGGTTTGCCACCAAGTCGGATAGGCTGTGGGATCCTGCTTAGGGTTGGTTCATATAAGAAATCATTTGTTTTTGACAGCTGTCCTTGGGAAGCATCCCTAACCAGCTGCCTAAGGGCCATGCTTTCTGAAGTGGTGCAATGTGGCAGTAGTTGTGTACTTTGCAAACCCCAGTGTAACGTGAAAGCTGCAATATAGCTATAGCTTCCCAGCGGGCTATGACACAGAAGGCGACAGAGCAACATTTCCTTGGCTTCCCTTTCCCTCTTCTAATTAATAAAAGATTCACATGGAGAAACAATGATCTGTCATCCCCTCCTCCATCCATCTGTTTTGATTTCTATCCTTTGTTTTTAATAGGTTTATCAGGAGAGAAGGGAGAAAGAGGTAACTCAGGTGTGGGGACACAAGGCCCCCGAGGCCCACCAGGACCAGCAGGTAGAGTTATAGACCTGTCTCTGTTTCCTTAGATAATGAAGGTCAATTACTCACCCACTCACAACAGACACAACAAAGTGTGTTACAGATGCTAATAAAGACCTTCCCATCCAAAGGTATATAAAGGCTTTGGCATGCCAAGTAACTTGACCTCTGAAAGGCTAGTAATCTCATATTCTTCTCTTTCTGGTTTCCTGAATTTGTTGTGATTGCTCTCTATGTGCTGTTTGCTAGAACATTCTGTTAATATCCCTTCCTCATTTTTGTTACAGTTCATTTGTATATATAAATATATAAAAATATGGATTTCAAATACTGTATGTACAAAACCAAAGAAGAGTCGCATAGCACCTTGAAAATTTACAACTTTTGTTTGGCATAAAATTCTGTGGATTGGACCCCACTTCATCCCTCCGATAAAATATCTGCAATCCATAAAAGCTTATGCCAAATAGATCTTATTAGTCCTCAAGGTGCCAAAACACTCTTTGCTGTTTTTGTTACAATAGAATAATACCACTGACCTCTAAAAGTATGTAGAAAAGGATTCATACAGTCATATTGAAAATACTTTTTCATGTATTATAAGCAATAGCTGCTCACGGGTATCACTAATCTGTCATGGGTGGGAAGATCCAGTATGAACTGAAAAGTGTGGAAACTGTACTGGGGCCAATTCTAAAATTAATAGTACAGACTTTCCATGTTATACCAGGGAGCTGATTAAAGCAAAGCCAACTTACAGAACAACAATAAAATGGAGATATCCTGTACTTCCTAAGATGCACTGATATTTGCAGCAGTAAATTGCTTTAAAGTTTAATGGGAAGATACATGATCAAAAACAAGTGGAGATGTAACAGACATGCACTGGGAGTTGTAACTGGCCCAGCTCCCCGGCATATGTTTCGATGCACGTTTACAAGCGTGCTTGTCTACTTTGTACTCTGCTGAAGCGACTAGGTAAACTTTGTTGATGCTTAGCATGGATCAGCTGTATCTGTTGAACAACAGATTTTAATGAACTGTTCTTTCTGTCTCACCGCCTAATGAATTCTTTGTTTAGTGATAATGCACAGACACAGGTGTTTTCTTCCATTACAGGGCCCTGTGGAAGCAGTGACACTAAAACATTTGTACCCACGCATGTGCGAATTCGCTTTGAGTTACTTGGTTGTTGTGCTCTTTCTGTAGCAACACAGAGATGATATTCTTATGGCTGCTTTTATGTTCCCTATAGGACCTCCAGGCGAAAGTCGAACCGGCAGCCCCGGCCCTCCTGGTCCACCAGGTCCCAGAGGCACAACTGGTCACACTGGTGTTCCTGGGCTACAGGGTGCAGCAGGGCAGCCAGGGTATTGCGATCCTTCTTCCTGCGCTGGTTACGGCACCGGTGGTAAGTATGCTTTTCCACTTCATAATTTTGTTTTCATTTTTGCCCTGCTTCCCGGCAGTGTCGTTAAGAGTCTCTAGTCTTCTGGGATATCAATTTTTCAGTTTAGAAATTATCATCTCAAGGCTAAAGGAAATGATTAGGAAAAACAAAGCAAAGGAAAAAAACACTTGCACCTGTTACTATATTGTGCTCCTTTCGTACATGTTGGCAACTATTGTTCCCTCAATGTACGTACTGCTGCTTTGGAGCTATTGCTGTTTTTCCCCCCTAATATTATCCCAACAGATCAGGAATATCATAATCATAATGAACATTAGGGCTCCTTAGGGCATGTGGTCTAACCAATTTGGCTACTTGGTCACAGTAATGAAGGAAACCAAAACTCTATTATTCTGTCTCTGAAAATCCTTAGAATGTCCCTCTGGATATATTCAAACAGAAATCCTTGCCTGGTATAAATTAAGAAGTAACAGGCTTTGCTCTAAAGCAATGGTTTCCAACCTTGGATTCCCAGATGTTTTTAGACTATAACTCCCAGAAGCCCTCATCACAAGCTGTGTTGGCCCAGATTTCTGGAAGCTGTAGTCCAAGAACACTTCTCTTAGCCTTAGCTTGTGTGACAGCTGGGTCTTGAAGAAGGTACTTCTTGCTGTAGTTGACACATGAGTATAAAACAGAAGGGTCATGTCAACCTGTAGTGTAAACTACAAACTTGCTTCAGGGAGATTGGGAGCCATCCAGTACAGGACCAGAAATTCACAATTCATAGGTCCATTAACAACTAATATGTACATCTCATGCTTCAGTTTATTGCTGTGCTCTTTGTGAATCCAGTATCTAATGGTGCCAGCAGCTTCCATGTAATAGCAGGGGAAAGGGACACTGCTGAGTTCAAGCGATACTGCTTTCTCTGAACAAAGTTTACACCACCCCTTGAACACTTGGAAGCAAGGTGGAAACAATATTGCAATAGTAAACAGGATACATGTTCAACTATTAATTGTTCTACATTCTTCAGAATGACTAAACCTTCATTTATGTTGAAAGAACACAGAACTGCCGTTTTGCTCTTCTATGTATGGTATTCTATATATGTATTTGATATGTTGATGTCACTGCCCCAGAATAATAGGATGTGGCGCTCACCATACCACTGTAATCAAAACATGATTGCATAACTTACCTTTAGGGACAAGGATGCATTCTTTATTAAAGTGCCCATACGTGACTGCCTTCGGAGAGCATGAACTAGAAATCCTTCGTCTGATCTAAATATTAATTAACTGATGTCTTCCTAGTTTGTAGTTCCTGGTTCTGAGCTATACTCATACATATTAAGCAGCCAGAAAATATCTCCAGTTAAGACTGAATAACTCGGGAAAGGGAGAATGGCAGATGCTAAAATATTGGTCCCTGTCTGCCAGCTATCTAATGAGAGCTCTAATTATGGATGTCCCAGCCTTCTTTCCGCATGTATGACATCAGCAGATTTGGGGAAAGCAACTTTTTTGAATTACGGATCCCAGGATGTGCAACTGCATGGCCACTGGCATCCTGAGAGATGTCTCTTCTACCGTTGTTTAACAAAGGAGCGTATAAGAGCTGCCTTGATGTTCTTCTGCCTATAGTTTCTGTGATACCAGCTGAGAGCTGTATTGTAAAAAAGTAACTTCTCCAAGTTCTTACCTGAAGGTAGATCAGGGTATGTGTCTAGATATGCTTGTTCTTTATGGACAATATAAAAATATAATAAATAAATAAACAGTATCATCCAAAGAGAGAAATTGTAAGTTGCCCGTGTAGTAGAAATAACAGAAAACTCACATAAAATTCAAAGATTGGGTGAATTTTTTTAAAAAATAATAAGTTTTCTGTCTTTTGTTCATGTTGTGACTTTGCCATGTTGTCCAAATAATCCATTCCATCTTGTTTTGAATGTCTTTTTTGTGTAACCTCAGTTTCCCTATGTTAACAATGACTTGATATTTTTTAATAATTTACAGTTGGTGGTGGTGGGGAATCCCCATCATACAACCTCCTTAATTTATATGCTTCAAACAGCATGGGAGAATAAAAGTCACTAATTAAGCCATTTTAATAATCTGAAGCAACGTTGCATATAGTTGCAATAAACTAATGGCACTTAGTCCTTAAAAAAATCTTTCTTAAAAATCCCTCTTGCATGAGAATGTTGTACTTTAATTGTGTTTGTGAGTGTGTGTTTTCTTAGAACAGTGATTTTCAAACTGAGTTCCTTGATAATATCGTTACAGGGGTTTCTAATTAGACCCTGGATATTAAATGACTGGTAGTAGTGAATGAGATTTCTTGAAAGAAAATATTTGCGACCAAACCCAGTGTTGCACTGATGGCTGGAATAGAATTCTTTTGCCCTGCAGTTCTCTGCACCAACCAAAAACTAGCTCTCGGGGGGAGGGGGCTCTGGCCCCTCAGACCTGATTTGAGGGGCACCTTCCCTCTTCCAACCTTCCAGCAACAGAAGTTGATTGCTGGATCTGATCGAACAGTGTTGCGGGAACTCCAGGCCTCTGCAATATTCAGAGTTCCATGGCAAATGAATTGAAAGAGTTGATTGCAAGTAAGAAGCTTGAAAAACACTGTTTTAGAAAAGAGGCTGCGAAAGGACGCAGCAGACACTTTGGCATCAGTGCATCTGTGGCATGTGTATTTTAAAGTTGTTGGTTTGATGAAGCATGACTCAAAACATTGTTCTTGCACATTAATAAAATGGTGGTGTATGGTTTAGATACTTCATACATAAGACACAAGATTAACATGTCGTTAAACTGACTACTGAGACTTCTTTGTTTTACTGACCTGTATGTTTTTCTCTGTTGTTCATCTGTTCCCATCCCTTTTTCTCCTCTCTTCTCTACATTTTGTCCTTGTTCATTTTCAATTATAAAGGCTCATTCCCTTACAATGGCTACCCATATGGAAGGTGAAAAGGAATTGATTACGGGTAGAGTTTGCTTTTTCTTTCATTTGGATGAAGGTCAGAAATGACTCCTGAACTTCCTTTGCCCTTTTTTTTCTCCAACAACGCTCAATATTAACAAAGGACGCTTGCTTAGTTGTCATTTGCTTTCAGTCAGGATTAAAGCACAAGGTCCGTTTTCTCCACTGAGCACACCGCTAGCCCCAAGCACCCACTAAACAAGCTGTAAATACAGGACAGGGTTGTATAAAAAATCCAGATAGTGTTTAAGATAACAGTAACTTAGTGTATTTATTGCGAGGGAGCAGACCAAGTGGGACCTGCAATAGGATATTGTAGTATGAAGTACACCTGTTCAGGCCTTACCTTGGCAAGGAAAGCGTCCTCTTCCTCACTCATACATTCCACATCTTCCCAGGTTTTCTCTCGTTCCACCCCCACCCACAGTTGACAACCAGCCTTCTGTGACCACTGGTCGATTTGGTCCCCTATTAAAATTTTTTGTGCTAAAGTACAAAAAAGGACAAGACTTTATATAGCACTTAATACTGCACCACCTAAAGACTTCTCCAAGCCTTTTAATACCTCCCTCATTTGTTTGGATGACATGATTGTAGCTGCATAAGGATTGTCACTCATTGGCTATGTGTAGATGATAGCATTATAAATTTCAGTGATCTGATGCAGCAAAGGGAATCTATGTGCATGGAAAGGCTTTTACTGCGAGGGAGCAGACCAAGTGGGACCTGCAGTAGGATAGTGTAGTATGAAGTACACCTGCTCAGCCATCACTTGAGCAAGGAAGGCCTCCAGATGTTCTTTGACTACAACTCCCAGAAACCTTCAACCACCACCTCTGCTGGCCAGGATTTGTGGGAGTTGAAGTCCAAGAATATCTGGAGGCCCAAGGGTTGGGGACCGCTGACTTAGGCAGCTGATGCGGATCCAGAATGGGTATCTGGATCTGCATTGTAATGCTTCTTTGCCCCGCTGTGGATTTGGATCAATGGGCAATGGTAGAATAACTAATCTCACACACAATTGTGACTGGATAGCACCTTAGGTTTTTATTATTATTATTATGCTTCAAAGAGCAGACCAAGTGGGACCTGCAGTAGGATAGTGTAGTATGAAGTACACCTGCTCAGCCATCACTTGAGCAAGGAAGGCCTCCAGATGTTCTTTGACTACAACTCCCAGAAACCTTCAACCACCACCTCTGCTGGCCAGGATTTGTGGGAGTTGAAGTCCAAGAACATCTGGAGGCCCAAGGGTTGGGGACCACTGACCTAGGCAGCTGATGCGGATCCAGAATGGGTATCTGGATCTGCATTGAAATGCTTCTTTGCCCCGCTGCGGATTTGGATCAATGGGCAATGGCAGAATAATTGATCTCACAACAATTGTGACTGGATAGCACCTTAGGTTTTTATTATTATTATTATGCTTCAAAGTATTCTGCATCCTGAATTATAACAATCTCTTTGCAAAGACTCAATTACGTATCCAACATTATGCTCCACCATTCAACAAACTGGTTAAACTTTGAATCTGCCCGGTGTTGATGTTCTGAAGAATAGGCCAGATTGATCTTTTTTAAAATGGTGTTTACTACTTTTTTCTTTCTCAAATAAATAATGATGCAGGGCACAGGTCAACCCAAACTAGGCATTTTTAGGGTTTAGTTTTCCAAGCTGGAGAAAGTGGTTTGTGCTTAACTTATATTGAAGTCAATGGGATAAGCTAGTCAGTGGAATTATGGGATGCGGTGGAACTTTGGACTGTTTAGTTTGTCTTTCTGCCATTGAAATAAATGACAGCTACTTATTTTGGGTAAGAGTGCATCTGTTGTTCTTAAACATTTGAGGACTGTTTTAGCACCAAACTACTATATGTTTAATATCGTAAGAACACTTGTTATTGCTGTTTTCCAACTAACCAATGCTAATAATAATATGTAATGCATCTTCCCCACTTTCACATAAAGCTAATGGCTTGGTAAACAGATAATATCTGGAGAGATTTAGTGACCATAATTCCCAATTACTGTTTTTAATGTTACTTTTGGCCTACATTAACTGTATGACTCCTTTTGGTGGGTTAAGGTGGATACGGGGAACCAACTGATCAAGAGATCCCTGTTGTGCCACTGCCGCATAACTCCTACCAGATCTATGACCCTGAGGACCTTTATGATGATGAGCAGCAACCCTATCTAGTTCACGGCTCCTACCCTCACCCACAGTCCTCTTACCCTGGATCTCATCTGGCTCAACCGCAGTTTACACCTGTCCATGAAGAAATGGAAGCGGTTGAACTGCGTTCTCCCGGAATAAGCCGCTTTACAGGTCAAATCTCCAAAAGAAGTATCAGCAAACCAAGACGCAGGCGGACAATTAAGAAAACCTCCTAACAAATGGTTTATTTTCTCTGTGGGTGCATTAAGGCACATGAATAGTTACTTCTTATTCATTTGCCTAATTTTTTCCTGGAAATTGTTTACAGGCTTATACCTTAAAGGGAAAAAAATATATATATTGAACATGACCCCTTTGCTAGAACAGGAAAAAAAAAGCTAATTATGTTGCATGCCAGAAGTTATTAGCATTATAGGAATTTATTCTTAGCCCAAAACTCCAAGGAATATATTGGTAGATCTTTGTAGTTTATGAGTGTGGTTCAATGCACATTTCCAGATATTGCATTGCCAGCTGATACATTTCAGTTACATCAAGGAAAGTTAGATCAGCAATGTTCTACTCTCTGAATTTCTCTAAATTTGATTCTGTGCTTTCCTTACAAATTAATCATATTGAAGTCCTTTCATTGGGAAAAAGGCAGCATAAAAATGCAGTAAATAAGGAAATATTCGATAAAATAAATAAAGCCTATCATGAAAAAATTCTTTTGAATATCTACACAAAGTGGGATTTTCTTCCTACAGTATTCCTATTTAATGCCTATTAGAAATGCACCAATAATTTATTGTGGGTCTATCACTACTCTGTTTTGTATACAAATAAATGTGGCAAACTTTTATAAATATATTTGTCAATTGTATTGATTTTTGAGAACTCACATTTTTCTTATAAAATACAATAAATAAATAATGGATTGGGAACCTTTGGATTTTTCAGAAATTTACTATGATCCAGTGACCCCTGCTCTGTCAGTTACAAGATTCTCTCTATTTAGAATGAAGTAACTTGTCTAATTGTTCACATATCTCTTGATGGACTGGAGGTATACATTCATGTTCAGTGCCATCTCCCATTGCTTGGAGACACTACTGCAAAAATGGTTTTACAATAACATGAGGAAGATGATATTAAGTAGAAATGGACTTACAATCTTGCGAAAGTGAGGTACATTGAAAAGACTGTTCTGCATCATGAAAAAACAATGAGGTGACACGTTAGTGAATTTTTCACTTCAGAACAGCTGTTCCTATTCTGTGTGTCATATTATCATTTAACATAGCATCCCATTTTGTAGAGGTTGTAGAAGTGTACACTTTTACCATAATACATGCAGCCAGAATCTGAACTTCATTTAGAATGTGGTAGAGTGGTGTCCTGCAAGACGATGATAATGTGTTCCACTGAAATCGCTGTTTAGCGAAATCATCATCTTGTGAAAAGCATTTCTCCATTGGAATGCATTGAAACCCGTTTAATGCATTCCAATGGGGAAAATAGTCGTAGTCCAGCGAAAATCACTCATAGGCAAGCCCTTTTAAATCGCTGTCTTGAGGAGCATCAGTCCGAAAACACCCTAGGGAAGCAATTTTGTGGAGCCGCCGATCAGCTGTAGTCATTGTTGTGCGAAGATCGTCCATAGGGAAGCCATCTTAAATCGCTGTCTTGAGAAGCATCGGTCCGAAAACACCCTAGGGAGCCATTTTGCGGAGCCACCGATCAGCTGTTAGAATCGTCCTCGGACCGAAACTTCGTATAGCGAAATTTCCCCATAGGAAACTCTATTTTGTGAAGTGGATTCATCATCATGCGTGGTAATCGTCTTGCGAGATACCAGTGTACAGTACTTTGAAAACAACCCCTCATATCATGTTCATGTTCGTTTCCCCTGTTCATCAATCACATCAGCCGGTTGCTCATAGTCAAATCTAGTGGTAGTCATATGGAGAATTCTCTCCCTTTGAAATGAATGGGATTTAAATTAGACATGAATAATGCAAGTCACATTAATTTGAATAGTCTGATTTAATTATGACTAATATTGGGTCTTATCGGCTTGTAAGGAGAACCTTCAGATTCTGGACTAAAACTAGTTGTTAGTCCAGAGTGAATCAATTAACAAATATTGAGTCCTCCTTAAGTTCTATTGATTCAATGGATCTACTGCGTTTATCTGAAAATAAGACAGAATCTTATATTATTTTTTGCTCCAAAAATGCATTAGGGTTTATTTTCAGGGGATTTTTTTTCATGTAGAAAAAAAATACAGTCATGTTATCTTCTGGTTGCTGCACAAGGGTGGAGGGCGGGATTTCACTTAACTGGGGCTTATTTTGGGGGTAGGACTTATATTATGAGCATCCTGAAAAATCATACTAGAGCTTATTTTCAGGTTAGGTCTTATTTCAGTGGGGAACAGGGTATTCTGATTAAAACCAGCAAATGAGTTCAGGCCAGGGAGTCAGATAATGGGTGTCTGTCTTACAACCCTGATCCAAGATTAATGAGGAAATGCCTCAAATGAGGGCACTGACTTTTATGTGATCAAAATCTCACAACCATATTTTATGCTGGTATTGTGGGCTGCAGGATCTGAAGGCGGGATCTGAAGGCCTTAGGAATGGACCTCAACAGATGGGAAACCTTAACATCTGAGCGTTCAGCCTGGCAGCAGGTGGTGCATCATGGCCTCTCCCAATTTGAAGAGACCCTTGTCCAGCAGGATAAAGCAAAGAGGCAGTCCCAAAACCAGCAAAACCAGGGAGTTGGGTAGGGGACAGATTGTATTTGTCTTCAGTGTGGAAGGGATGGTCACTCTCAAACTGGCCTTCTCTGCCACACTAGATGCTGTTCCAAGTCCTCTAGTCAGAGCACGTTACCCTAGTCTCTTGAGACTGAAGGATGCCTAATCAATCTAATTAATGTGGGCTGCATACAGTATATTACAGAAGTAAATACACCCTCTCACATTTCATAAATATTTTAGTATATCTTTTCATGTGACAACACTGAAGAAATGACACTTGTCTACAATGTAAAGTAGTGAGTATACAGCTTGTATAAGAGTGTAACTGTGCTGTCCCCTCAAAATAATACAACGCACAGCCATTAATGTCTAAACCAGTGGTTCTTAACCTTGGGTTACTCAGGTGTTTTTGGACTGCAACTCCCAGAAGCCTTCACCACCAGCTGTGCTGGCTGGGGTTTCTGGGAGTTGCAGTTCAAAAACACCTGAGTAACCCAAGGTTAAGAACCACTGGTCTAAACTGCTGGCAACAAAGTGAGTACACCCCTAAGTGACAATGTCCAAATTGGGCCCAAGTAGCCGTTTTCCCTCCCTGGTTTCAATGAAACACCATTTATGAGGGCTAACCCTTTAGACCAAGTGAGACAATTGTCTTCGGGGTATAATGGAAGGGGAAGAAATATATTAATGCATTTTTTACTGTCAGGAGGGCAGTTGCGTATGGGTTTTCTGCCCTAAGCGCTAAAACCATTTGGCCTGCATGGTGTGCAACAGAGAGGTCACATCATGCTGTGTCTTACGTTGCACTAGATCTGGCTCTGGGCCTGAATCCAGTTCTTTTTCAATGCTTCTGTAGAGAATATTTTCTAGAGAGCATTTCTCCTCAGCAAAGTTATTCAGCTCTTCAGATCTGCCTTTTATTGTTTATTGTGTCTCCCACTCAAAAGCCCTAGAACAGGGGATCAAAGTTCATGAAGCTTTGGCTTCTCTGATGACATCAAGTGACATGATCAAAATTCTTCCCCATGCTGTATGTATTGGCGTTGCTTGACATGGACTGAATAATACATATCAAGTCTGTCTAGTTGGACAGTACAGTGGTTGCTCGACTTACGAACGTCCCGACTTACGGCCATTTCGAGTTACGACCAGCTCTGGCTGCTGCTATTTGCGACCAGAGCTTCGAGTTACGACAAAAAAAAAAAAGGTGGGGGGAAAGGATAGGAATTCAAAGAAGGCTGCTTCTTTGTAGCTCTTTCGCCCCAACGGTTAGAGTCTCTGTGTTGGAGGAGGCTTCGGACTGCCTGATGCTACTTTCAGCTCCTGAGTAAGTACATTTACAGGGTTTTGCAGGGTGGGTTTAGTATGGGGGGATTATGTTTCTGTGCTGTGATGTTTTTTGGTGTTTGTGTATTTTTTTTTGCCCCAGCGCCCTCCGATGGGGCTTGCTGTGTTGTTGTTTTATTGTGTGTGATTTTCCCCCCCGCCCCAGCACGTTCTGATGGGGCTTGCATTTTTGGGGGAGGGTTAGTGATTTTTTTTTTTGCCCCAATGCATTCGAATGGGGCTTGCGGTGTTTTGGTTTGTTCGGTTTTTGTATTTTTTCTCCAGTCAAAACGGATTAATTGCGTTCTAATGCATTATAGTGGGAAATGGTGCTTCGACTTACGGCCATTTTGAGTTAGGACCATCATTCCGGAACGGATTATGGTCGTAAATTGAGGCACCACTGTATCTGCCTGAATGGAGAAGTCAGCATAGCTTTGATACTGTTTTGAAGCTGTGCAGGTTTCCAAAACGGTGCTCTATGCAGATACAAATCCCATATGGATATCATTGCAAAAAGCCAATAAAGCAACAGCAGTCATAGGTAAGTAACATGTCTCCTCCCCCCCGCCCCAAACAACTGAGCCATCCTCTACAAATATTCTCTGTTCAGTATGATCATTATCCAGCTAAATCTTCATTTTCAACATTATTTGCTGTAAACAGAAATGCAATTTGTCTGAATGTGTATTCATGTTGAATAATCGGGACACTGCTTTAGCAATATGCATTCATAACACTCTAAACGCATTCGATTCTTCAGAAGCTAAGCAGAAGTGGGTCTGCCTAGTATTGGATGGGAGACTGCCACGTACAGATTTCCAGATAGGGCTAGGAAAGTATCCCGCCTTTAACCCCTTTATTATTGTTTAGTCGTTAAGCCCTGTCCGACTCTTTGTGACCCCATGGACCAGAGCACGCCAGGCCCTCCTGTCTTCCACTGCCTCCCAGAGTTTGGTCAAATTCATGTTGGTCGCTACGATGACACTGTCCAACCATCTCGTCCTCTGTCGTCCCCTTCTCCTCTTGCCTTCACACTTTCCCAACATGAGGGTCTTTTCCAGGGAGTCTTCTCATGAGATGGCCAAAGTATTGGAGCCTCAGCTTCAGGGTCTGTCCTTCCAGTGAGCACTTGGGGTTGATTTCCTTCAAAATGGATAGGTTTGTTCTCTTTGCAGTCCAGGGGACTCTCAAGAGCCTCCACCAGCACCTGAAACCCCTAGAGAGATGCTATTTATTTGTATTGTATATTAATACTGGACTAAATGACTAATGGATTCAGCTTCATATATTCTACATAGAGAGGAAGAGAAGGAGAGGGAAAGAGAGAGAAATGTAATTACTTAGATTGATGTGAACCATTCCTCAGCAGGACAGTCACATGTTTATAGGCTGTGCATTATTTATTCTAGCACTGTCATCACTTTAGCTCGACTTCATTCTGCCCATTCTTCTATAAGCAGGTCAGAATATGTTGCAAATGTGAGGTTGGTGAAAGGCTCCATTTATGTTTCTTACTGATACAGTAATTTATTCTGTATCATTCCAGCATATAGAATGATGTAGAATAATTGATTCTGGTGACATTTCATGCCATGATGAATGCACATTCTTTGTCCTGCCATTCTTGGTATAAAATGCAGACTTCTCATGCTTGTGCAGATCAATGGAAATGCCCTATCTGAGTAATATTTGTTGAGTAATTATCATGCTGCTTCTCATTAAACAGGCACTGTTGGTAAGTGACTACTCTGAACAGCCCACACATTTACTCTTATATTAAATCTAGGCATCTGACATGTCAAAAATAATCTGAAAATAGTTTAATATGTATGAAGCATCAAGTCCAGTAGTTATTTACTTCGCAGGTATAAAGGTCCTTAACTGTTGACATCAAAACTTGCACACCTTCTGGGAGAATCTATAACTTGTAAGCCTATCCATACTTTGCTAAGAAATGTGTTGTATTGAAATTAATGACTCTTTCAAGTAAGAATGCACTTAAGACTGTAGGATGGAATGAAACTTGAAATGTCATTATTGCCCTACATTTGAACCACTCCATGGCCCTGATGGCAAAAGAAGTGTGTGTGTGTGTGTGGGGGGGAAGGGGGCTAAAGTGTTAAGATGGAATATTAACTGGGCTATCCTGCAATTGCAAAGAGAGAAGAGCCCATGGCTTAAGGTGCCCATTTTTCAGATTCATATTATTTTACACACTTGCAGCCCTACATAGTTTAAATATAGAAAAAAGAAAAAAACTTATTCAAAATGGTAATATCTCCTAGATATTGTACAAAAATAAATTTTATATAACCAATTGCAAAAAGGTCTCCACAAGGAATAATATTCTTTGAAAGCTGTTGGGAACCATTTGGGACACACAACTAGAAACACTAAGAACTATAGCCCTGGCCATACGTCACTCTGCAGACGAATACACTAGCTTGGTGTTGTATAGTCAAGGCCATGCAAAACAGGTATATGTAGCACTCAATAAATGCTGTAGAATCATTACTGGATGCCTGAGCCAAACCCTATAGATAAAAATACAGAGAGTCCAATGCACAGCCACTCTTTGCCTATCATCTGGCCCCTCCCAGATAACAATCAAGGAAAAGCGTTGTCAGTGAATCTTGAAGGGACGGCACAGATGTCAAGGCTACTATGTGGAAAAAAGTAAGTACCCACCTCTTAAAATGGATAGAACCCCAGAAAAGCCTAGCCCTGATTACACAGAGAAATGAATTACTTGGTAGTCTCTTAATAGGCTACAGACCATAGTTGGGAGAATGAAAGTGAACATAAGAGAATTGGGTTTGTTTGTTTTTTTGCATTAGTGAGTGTGAAAAACAGACTTCAACTTATGTCAGTGTACTCTATGCTTCTCAACATGTACCATGGAAACACTAGCTGCCCTGAAGGCTTTTGTTGTTGTCTGTTACTGGGCAAAAATCATTTGATATATTGTGTTGTGGTGCTTCTAATGGGAATAGAGACTAGGCGTGGAGAGCAATGCCCCTTAATTGAGAAGTTTTGGCCACGGCTGAAGATCAGTTTTATTTCTAATATGAAGCAGAATTCCTTTTGTGGTTCAGAAGAAACTAAGAAGATAAGCTGCCCCCTTCAGATTTAATTCATACATATACACACTATGTTTCTTAATACTACTTGCTAATGCAGACTTTAGTTGCTTTGGTTAAATGCCTAAAATTCCCTAGGGCCCAAGGGACATATGTCTCAAAGACATACTTAATATCCTACCCAAGTCCTTGACACATTAAACGAGCCAAACCCACCCCTGGCCACAAAATCGGGAATTAATCTTATAGCTGATGCAGCTTTTGGAATGATAAAGATTTACATTAGATTAATATCTGCTCCATTAACTAAACATACTGTATAACAAGCCAGAAATAGCATAAATCATGTTACTAGACTGATAGGCAGTAGACTGCTTCCAATATCATGTGCTAGGTCTTGTGGGAATTGTTTCTAAATTAAGATTGAGAGGGGATTGTTCCTCGTATTTCTTATATAGGATTACATACAATGCAATCCCAATTTGCTAGACGGTCTGGAAAGTATCAAAACAATAGGACAAACAGTTTGAAGTGCTCTTTATACAGAACTGATACAGGAGACAAGGGGGAGGCCCACAGATTTAACTGAAAATCTGCCTGCTAGTGGGGTCAGGTAAAGGAAACACACAAGAGCATGGTTGAAACAGTGCTGCTGCTAAGTAATTTAGATATTATGGTTTTATGGGATGGAAGGCCCTTCGGTGACTAAGCACATGACTAATACTTCTCTTCCACATTTGCTAACAGGATTGTACAGTATACAGTGGTGCCACGCAAGACGAGCGCTTTGTTTTACGACAAAATCGCATAACGATGAAGTTTTTGCGATCGCAAAACGATGTTTCCTATGGGTTTTTTTCGCTTTGTGATGATCGGTTCCCTGCTTCACTAAGATTATTGCAAAACGATTTTCGCAGTTGATTGGCGGTTTCAAAATGGCGGCAGGTAAAAAAAAATGGCCGCCCGCTGTTTTCTGGGACGGATTCCTTGCTGCACGGGCAGCGAAAATGGCCGCGCTATGAAGGATCTTCGCTGGACGGTGAGTTTCAAGCCCAAACGGTTTTAATGCATTTCTATGGGCTTTTAAAAATCGCTTTATGATGTTTTCGTTCTACAGCGATTTCGCTGGAACAAATTAACATCGTAATGCGAGGCATCACTGCACCTTTATCCAGTGAGAAATGAAAAGAAAAACACAATCCCTGTGAACAATGTTTTTTTTAAAGCTCTTACTATGCAAGCTGTACTATGTCTATACTCTTCTAACATGACCAAAAATTTATCACTCACGCTGAATCTTTAATTTTGGCCAACAGCGTTCACTGTAAGTGCAGATCATGTAATAGGAATGATTGCCAAAGTATTTGATATAACCAGTGGGACTGATTTTTAGTGTCAGAACTAAATCATAAATTTATAGTCTTGATGACTACTTTTACTATGTACACAACTGAGATCATAGTAAAGGTGCACACAGGGAAAGGAGGAGAAACACTTATGACTTTCTTATGACTAACAATGCCCATTTAAACAATTTTTTTAGTAATTTATATATGTGCCAAAAATAGTAAGAGACAGATGTGTAGCTTGAGGTTTTCCTTCAAAATCCAGTTCCTTTTTCATCCAGGAACATTTACAAATTTTGCCACATGGTCCAATAAGCTAGGGTAACTGTGATGCATTTAACATAGGATAAATAGCTGAAGTGTCTACGTTGGATACCCAACATGTAATTTAGGCAAAGAAGGGTATGCTTTGCCTAAGAAGGCATATGACTTTGAAAGGATCTTCATTAGACCAACTAATTTTTGCTAATCTCCAATCCAGGTTGTAGTTGTGATTGATAAAATGTTATTTATTCATTTTTCCTTGCTGCTATGCAATTAATGTATTGTGGGAAACTGATTAGACTGCTGCAATTCTGGTTGTACTTCTTTTCTTTGCATTTAAGTTGTACAGTGGGGTCTTGACTTGAGAACTTAATCCGTATTGGAAGGCGGTTCTCAAGTCAAAAAGTCTGTAAGTCAAGTCTCCATTGACCTACAGTGCACTGAAAACCGATCAATCCCGTAACAGGCCGTTTTTGTTCCATTTTGGTTTTTTTCTGGTCTGCAAGTCAAATCTCAGTCTGCAAGTCAAACCTAAATTTTGCGGCCAGAGAAGTCTGTAACTCAAAAAGTCTGTAAGTCAAGCTGTCTGTAAGTCAAGGGTCCACTGTATGTATATTGCTTTGCTACCTTAGGGCTAAAAGATGCACATAAAACAGCTAGTATACCCAAAAAATGATTAACACTTTTAGTGGAGATAAGCTCTTGCTAATTTGCTGGCCTCCAGATGTCTTGAAGTACAATTCTAATCACCCGGCAGCCTGCAAGGCACCAAGCAGAGGGCTGGCTTCAACACCACTAAGTAGCACATGGGAAAATTTGAGCAAGGGTGCTCTTTTCTTCCTGGGAACCAGCAAGGGGAACAGTCTTCATTCTTCTGTCTCTCAAAGAGGTTACCGATGGTTTTGAAGGTGACTATGCCAGACATCTATTAATTGCTGCTGCATACACAGTTTCCCTTCTTGTAAGGGATATATGTTGGAACATGGTGCATAAAATTAGGTGTGAGGTCATGGTTCATTCCAAATTTCAACAGAAATATGAAAACAGCCAGTTTTCTTGCTCAAATGTTACACATATAGTACACTAAATGTACCCTAAAATAAGTTCATCCAAAGGCCAGAAAGTTATATAAAATATAGATGTCTAATTTTTTATTGTATTTTGAATATTTTATTGATTTCCCATGTCCTCCTGCAAAAAAGGAATTGAAAAAAAGGGGAGGGAGAGTAAAAGTAAAAAAGAAATACAGAAACAAGCACGTCTCATTTTATTTATCAAGCAATACTGCTGATAACTGAAAAATATATTACAATGCAGATAGTTTAAATTAAACATTTAGGCAGGTCACCAAACTATGAATTCCTGAGAGCATAAAGATGTCAGGCAGGTTGATTTCTTAGTCTCAGGCTTTTTCACTTCTCTCACTATTTTATCTTTAAAGATTGAGACCTGTAAATAAAAGAATTGTAAATAATATATTTATTAGAATAAAATCATATAACATCAAGATTAAAAAATAAAGCTGATACTGTAAGACTAATTTACAACAACCACATTTTCACACTAGGAAAAATAAAAAACATGCAAAAAAGGCAGCAAAGAACAGTCACTAAAAAGGACATATTTTTCATAAGTCTGTAGTTCATTTTGTGGATGAACTTTTATGGAAACCTTCATTTTCAATGTTAATTTTTAGACACCAAAATGAATCTTGGAAAGCAAATTCTAGAATCATCTTATCACACCAGATACTTGCTACTAGAAGCAAACAAGATAACCTGTTGACAATTTTGCCATGCAGATTAAAAAATGTATACATTTCTAATATACTGGATAATGAAATCAGGGAAGACTTTAGATTGTGCAGTTTCACATGCATGGGAAGGCAGAGAGACTTCAATTCCTTTGATCCCAAAGAACTTTATTTCTGAAAAATAGATAATTGTTGAAACTGGCAACAGGATCATTCAACATATGAAGATTGTGTATATCAACTCATTAGAGTTCTTCAGTGATCTGATGTCAGATCATGTTACAATTTCTATTTCCTCCAAGCCCCAATAGAGCATACTATATATGCAAGTTTTTAAAAGAATGCTGCAACTAGCCATAAGATTACTGGATACATTTCATATATACATTTACTACATCAAGCCCTTCATTCTACTTTGAAACTACTTGCTAGAATTCACATGTATTTTAACTGAGCATTAAAACAATGTTCTTTACCTATCTATGCTTGTGCTTTTGAGTGGAGTCATATGTTAACAGCCACAAAAGATAAGAGCTGATCAGGGAAGTTACCACTCTATGTTGCAGCCTTTGAAAGTGATGTGGCAATGCATCCGCATGTGAAAGATCTCCAGGCTTTCTTACAGCATTTTAGAGTAAAAATACAGACAGCTTGAGATGTAAGGGAATGAAATATTAGGCCCAACTAGATTAGACTCACTGAATCAGTGGGAACTTGCTAAAGCAACACATGGGTTTAGTGGATCCACTCTGACTGACACTAAGAATTTGATTTACAAAGGTATCTTATAAAATAATATATATGGAATAAACAAACAAATGTTTCAATGGTATAGGCATCCTTCAGTCTCAAGAGACTATGGTAACATGCTCTGAATCGAGGAGTGTCCTCTCCAGAGCATGAAGCCCGGGTAAGGTAATATGGAGGATAGGCTGTTACCCAAGCAGCAGATCCCTCCTCTCCACATTGCTGAAATGATGAGGTTTGAAATCGGAGTTTTCCTTCTCCTAGATGGGCTGCCTTCCATGGCTGACGAGCCCCACCTACCCGGCCTGCTCTTTAATACTGCAAAAGTATGATCTGAATGTTTCAATAAAATAATGGCATTTAAAGTACAGGAAATGGAGGACTGAAATAACCCTCACTTTTTCAAATCATTTATTTATTTATTTATTTATTTATTTAATTTATCCCCCGCCTATCTAGTCAATTGTGACCACTCTAGATCTATATCCTCCTTTGATCATGTGGCCCAAAAGTGGCTTACAAGATATTCAGTGCAACTACACTGGAAAACTGAATCAGACTAATTCAATTTTGCTGCAATATGATTTGCCATCTGTATTACATCTGAACTTGAAATCAGTGTTCATATAGGAGCTGGGTATTGATTCATGAGTTCCGCATTCTTACTGGATGCAATGGAAGTTGCATTCCAGTCCACAGTCCCTTTTTGTTCCTTCCTTCCTCTGGTCCCACCTTTGCTGATTCTTTGTGGTTCATGGTGAAGTCACAGTTTATCACAGTTTATCGTGGTTTAAAACCGTATCTGACCAGAGATGAGGTAATTCCTGCATATGTTACTTGAAAGTAATGGAAAAGAGTGATGGGCAAGAAGGGGAATGTGGTGATCCCTCTTATGGGACTAACTGCATGGGGAAAAGGTCATTTGAATCATTCTGGCTTGAAAAAGAAGAAGCCCCCACTGGCAGACCACAAAAAAACCTTCTTTGAGAGCAAAAGGGACTGGACCAATTCAAACCAGCCTTTGTATTGTGTGCCAGTTAAAAATACTTTGAATTCATCCATTGGTAGTTTATTTATTTATTTATTTATTAAATTTATACCCGCCCCTCTAGACCATGTCTACACACTCAAAGTTCATTTATGCAGTCCAGTGATTCTTAGTCTTGTGGTAAACACTCCGCAATTCCAGGGCAACTGACAGCTAGGAATATTTCAGGCAGAGGTACAGCTCAGACCTGAAAAGGACTGCATTTGGAAGCAAAGTCTCACTAATTTTGTCAGAGAAAATTCAGACTTGTAAAAGAAAGCTCTCCAGTCAAATCTAAAAATTTAGAAAACAGTTTTTTGAGTCGCTGGATATTCTTATCAGCCATATCATACAGTTCTGACAACTACCCTGTTTCCCCTAAAATAAGACCTAACCTGAAAATAAACCCTAGCATGATTTTTCAGGATGCTTGTAATATAAGCCCTAACCCAAAACCAAGCCCCAGTTAAGTGAAACCCCACCCTCTACCATTGTGCAGCAACAAGAAGAAGATGACATGACTGTATTTGAATAAATGTAGATCGTTGTACATGAAAAAAAAATAAGACATCCCCTTAAAATAAGCCCTAAAGTGTTTTTAGAGCAAAAAATAATATAAGACTGTGTCTTATTTTCAGGGAAACAGGGTAAACCACTGTGGGATTTCCCTCTGCTAGGTTCTGATTAAGGAAACAATGAAGCAATTGGATCAAAGCAACTCGGTGTCACATAAGAAAGACACACATAACTCTTGAAGACTGTAATAAGGTTGAAAAAATCATTAGGAAGCAGTAAGTTAGAAGTCTGGACAAACAGAGGAAAGGCAAAATAGTATTTTAGTGCATGTGTAGTATTAGTGCATGTAAACTGAAAGGCCATCCAAAGCAAGATGGTCAAAGCTGAAACACCAGACTAAGAATCAGCATTAGCAGAAGAGGATAGCTCCAAGTCTCAAGCTGTATGGCAGTTATAATTGGAATAAGGAATGAATCAAGGGAAGCCTGAAATTCTGAAGCAAGAAATGGAACACTAAACATTGCAGTTCTTGGTGTCAGAGAACAAAAGTGGAGTGGAACAGGCCATTTTCAATTAGATAATTAACAAAACTATTTACCCTGGAAAGGACAAACTCAGACGAAACAGTGTGGCCTAAGGTGAGATGTGGCAACATCAGGTAAAGGACAAACTCAGACGAAACAGTGTGGCCCAAGGTGAGATGTTGAAGTCGTAATGTAATTTCTGACTGAATAATATAAATTAGATTTCACCGGGAACCTATCAGCATTACCATCATCCACATCTCTGCCCCAGTACAGATACTGAAGATGAAACTGAAAGCATCTATGCAAGTTTTAAAGAGGCAATGGAACACACTACGTAAATGGCTGAACTACAGCCAAAATGACTAAACTGAGACAATTATAGTTTGGATATATCCTGAGAATATGACTGCTTGGAAAAGACAGCAATGCTAGGAAAAGTCCTGATATGAAATGGATTGATTCAATTAAGGAAACTATAACCCTTAATTTCCAAACCTAAGCAGTGATGTTAATAATAAGATCTTTTTAAAGTCATTGATTCACATTGTCACATTGAAGTTCTTCTCTTCAGACACGGCCATTATTTTGGGCATAGGAAGGAATCAGAGATATCACCTTGACAACAAAAGTCCGAACAGTCAAAGCTATGGTTTTTCCTGTAGTGATGTATGGAAGTGAGAGCTGGACCATAAAGAAAGCTGACCGCCGAAGAATTGATGCCTTTGAATTGTGGTGCTGGAGGAGGCTCTTGAGAATCCCCCGGACTGCAAGGAGAACAAACCTATCGATTCTAAAGGAAATCAACCCTGAGTGCTCACTGGAAGGACAGATCCTGAAGCTGAGGCTCCAATACTTTGGCCATCTCATGAGAAGAGAGGACTCCCTGGAAAAGTCCTTAATGTTGGGAAAGTGTGAAGGCAAGAGGAGACGGAGACGACAGAGGATGAGATGGTTGGACAGTGTCGCCGAAGCAACCAACATGAATCTGACCCAACTCCGGGAGGCAGTGGAAGATAGGAGGGCCTGGCGTGCTCTGGTCCATGGGGCCACGAAGAGTCGGACACGACTAAACGAACGAACGAGGAAGGAATCTATCAAACCAAATATTTCATCCCCAAGAAAAATACCTTTAATAAATGTACTAATAAATCATTGCCCCTTGTTAAAATTAATTTTCAATGGGTGGAAAACTCTATGTTCAAGGAATCTGCTGGAGAATCTTCTCCGAAATACAAGTGTGGTAGTTTTCAATCAAGTCTCAACAATCACTTTGGAGTCTGCTCTTCATTAAAACCACAGGCAGCAAATTCCAGTGATGATGTCCTTTTTTGCCTAGCAATGTTCTGCAGATTAAAAACTGGGGTCTGGCTCAAACTGCTATTATATGAGAGGCAGCATTCTTTGGCGTGAGGAAGCAGTGGGAGATGGAGCAGGTTTATTTTTTAGGGGCACAGTACGCACAGTTAAAAGGGCTCTGCAGTCTTTCAAAACAAGGTGTATTTTTACATTTCAAAGGCAATCAGCACCAGGTCACTTCCACTCAACGTTCCCACTATTTTTGCCTGCTTTACCACTTCCTCCCTACTGATGAGCACCAGCATTTGCTGCCACTATTTTTGCCTGCTTTACCACTTCCTACCTACTGATGAGCACTAGCATTTGCTGCTTAAACACACACACACATACAAAATCTTGCTGCTGATGTTACTCTTCCCCTCAATCTGGTCCCATCTTGTCTTCTGATCATTGCTGCTTATCACCATTGCACCTTTGGTATACATTCTTAAGCTATGTCTTCTAGTTAATTTCCTTCAGTATATAAACATGCCACAGTCTCTGCCTTTCTTAAAAAGCCATTTCTTGATCCTTTTTTCCTCTC